CAGACCTATTTTGCGACCTCATTATTCTCAATTGTTCAACTTTGGTAATGTTTTAAACATATTTAGATTTAATTTAAAGCTATAAAACCTATATAGTCTTTTTAATTAAGTATTTAAGAAGTGTCAAAAACAATTTTGAAGTAAATCTATGCAATAGTTTCTTTTTTATAACGATTTTTCTCGCCCGGGTCCAAAGGACCCAGGTGTGGTAAGCGTGTTACTACAGGAAGGCTGATAAGCAAAGATTAAAGATCAATTGTTTTCATTTCATAATAATTTGGAAAAAAAAATCTAACAAATTATTTCGTTGTAGTTCAATTGAATGTAACAACAGCAATTGCAAATACTCGACGATTGACGAGTATACTCGTCATCTAGGGCAGTCATACCAAACTTTACGGTTACGGGCCGCGCGTGTGGCCTCGCACATCCAGTCATGATATTTTTTTTTTCCCTCTTTTTGTCTTCTTTTAGTCATCGATTTTCAATCGGCGCCAACGTGCGGCCTGTTTGATATTAGGAAATGAACATTATGCGGCACCTGAATGAAGAAAGGCTTAGTATCCCTGTTCTAGGGGCACAGTTAAGAGGTTAGTTTTGAATTGTCGAGTATGTGAAATCAAAAAAAAAACAAAAAAAAAAGATGAAAGAAATAGGGCGAGAGAGAGAGAGAGAGAGAGGGAGAGAAAGAGAGAGAGAGAGAGTAGGAGAGAGTGAGAAATATAAATAAAGAGAGAAAGAGCTAAAAGGAAAAAAACCAAAATGTCAAACAAACTGGTTGTTTATAAAATAACGGAATTAGCACGAATTATGCAAATGAAAGAGAACAAGAGAAAGAGAAAGAGAAAGAAAGAGAAAGAGAAAAATAAAAATAAAAATAAAAATGTCTTCGTCATCGTCATTGTCGTCGTCGTGGAAAGATGGCGTTATTACGAAACAATGAAAAAGAAAAAAAGGAAAGGCGCGTTATTTAAAATGCAATTGTTCTCGACAAAATGTGTTAATAAAAAAGATTAGAAAGAAAGAAAGAAAGAGAGATAGAGAGAGAGAGAGAGAGAGAGAGAGAGAAAATTAAAGATAAAGATAGAGCACACATAAGCAAAATATTGTCAGAAAGCAAAGAAGGCCTGTTTGTCGTCGTACTGTGTCTTGGCGCTGGGTAATTATGCGTCTATTGGGATGCAGTGCGGTGGTGGCAGCTTCCTCTGAGCCTGACCTGACAGGACGCGTTGCGTACCTGACAAGCTATACGCAAAAGCTCCATTCGGAGCTTTCTCAGACACAGAAAGCTTCGGACGACTACGGAGAGAGAGAAAACTACTGCAAGCACCTTAAATGGGTACCTATATACCTATACACAACTCTATCTATTTAAACATGATTATTTTGTCAACATGATTTTTACAACACTTTTTATTATTTATATACACAGATACATACATACGTACATACATACATACACACATACATACATAAGTACAATGATCCATTCAAATATTTGGACGCTATAGTACGACCAGCTTTGTGGCTTCATATTTCAGTTCTTTATAAATAATCATCTCACACTGATTATTATTTTTAGGAATAATTGATTATTTTTGAGATACTTATAATTATATAATCAATGTAATTATTATAATATCAAGTATAGCAATCTTACTTTTTTATTTCAATTTCTTCCGCGAATAAAAATCTAATAAGGTTAGGTTAAGTGATCTTGAATCATTCAGAGATATTAAACACAACATACGCAGAACTACTGAACATTATCATTGAGCAACAAAGATTTGTTTCTTTTTTTTTTTTTTATATTTTTTATTTATTTTATAGCGTGGTTTTTTTCTCACGTGACAAAAAAGACAATCCTCAATTGCACTATCTGAAAATTTTCCTCCATTAAGATTAATACGTTGGACTGATTACACACTTTAAACTTTATCTATTCTAATTAATATTTTAAGGTAATAAATATATTTAAAACATGATAAAGTATTTGTGTTGATTCAAGAAGTATCAAAATAAAATTTTAATACTTGACAATTTTTTGGAATATGTTTTATTTTTAATCAGTTTGAAAATTTATTTATAATTTGAACAAATACATTGTGATATTTTATTCAATCATTTTCAAATCTAGGTTTCAATTTCAAAATTAGATTTATTGAAATAAATTGAAATTTTTCGAATTTTTCTATTTAAAATGTATCCTATTAATCTAATATATTACGTTAGTATATTACGTGTCACGTTGTTTCTTCGCAATGGACTCCTAAACTACTGAACAGATTTGAATAAAATTTTGCACACTGTGTGCAGTTTCATCCAACTTGAAAGATACGATAGTTTATATCTCAATTTATAATTGCAATGTCTGTTAGTTCTATAAGATTTTAACAGATGACGGTATAAGGTAATTCGTTGACTTAAAGACGTGTGTATCGGAATGATTGTGAGCCACAGCAATGCGTGGCGCGAGGCACCCCTATATTAAATAAGATCAACATAAGATTCCAATTAATAATTTTACCAATCAGCGTCGTTGAAATATTTTTATCGAATCAATTGTACCTAAGTACACACATACGTAAAAATTTGTAAACACACCAATATATAATGTCTCTCTTTATCATAAGCTCCGCCAATAAACGGATTTTCAAAGCCGTTCTTAACGCGCGAGTAAGATTTCTTCTTTCTACAGGATTAAAATAAAAAATAAAAAAAAAACAGAAGATTTTCGAAAAAAAAACAAAGGGAGAAATGGAAAGGGAGAGAGAGAGAGAGAGAGGGAGAGAGAGAATGAGGGAGAGGTAGAGAGAGAGAGAGAAAGAAAGAGAGAAAGATAGAAAAAAAGGAGAAAAATAATGCGTGAAAACGCGCCTTAATCGAATCTGATATAAACTCGCAGCATACATCTGAATTTCGCTAAAAAAAACTAAAAAAAATAAAAAAAACACGTTCGTAGCTCGCTCTCGTCCGTCCGAAATTTATTTACGAAATAATAAATAAATAAATAAATAAATAGATAGATAGATAGATAGATAAATCGATCATTAGAATGTGATCAAGTTATGTCAATTTAATTAATTAATCAATCGCGATATTATTACAAAGTTTTTGTCTCGCTTTTGACTTGATTTTATTGTTGTTTGTTCTTCTTCGTATTTATTCACATTCGACTTATCGTTGTCTACTGTTCGTTTCGTATGTTATCAACATTACATTGTGATTTTTCTATAACGCGAATTATTCTACTTCGGTAATTCATCTACGACCATATTACGTTTCTCACAGCTTCCGCTCAATCGATTAATCCTTTTCATAATTCCCCCCTTTTTCGCTAATCCATTTTGAATAATTTTCGTTTATTTTTTTTTTTTCGTTAGATCGTATATATATATATATCCAATTGGCTGTGGACGACGAGTATACTCGTATATTTATTGTCAAAGTTTTACACTTCAATGTATAAATTGCAAAATTATTGTATTATGATGACGAATATATTTTTCATGCATAAATTGTAATATTTTGTGTTACAACTTTATAGATTATAATTGTAATATTTTGTTTATCTATGACACATATACTTGTCATATAGATAAATGGAAAAATTCTGTCCTGTGACGACGTATTGATACTAGTCATGGAAAAATTGCAATATTACGTTATTATGACGAGCATACCTACTCGTAATGAATAAATTGCAATATTGGTTTTTTTTCTTTTTTTATTGTAATGAGCATACTCGTTATACAGATAAAAAAAAAGAGAAGTAAAATAAGTATTTGATTAAAAACTTAATTCAATATTATACCACCTACATATATACCTATATATATGTATATACGTATATATACATACTTTTTGTTTGCCGAGTATACTCCGTCATCTCGTTTGATTTCTACAACACAATTTAATTAAACACTTTTCTATAAGGTTACTACACAACTAATCGATTAAATAACAAATGGTAATTACTTTTTTTTCCGCATGTCGAGTATACTCGTTGTAATACAAATAATTGCAATTGACGAGTTATACTCGTTAATCACAGCTAATTGGTTATATATATATATATATACACATCCTACATACACACGTACGAGCATGTTTTCCACGTGCGTTTGTGTACTTTGTTAATTCCTTTGCTTATATCCTTCTATTCCTTTATTTTAATCTTTTTCTTTATCCTCTTCCTTTTACTTATTCTCCAAATTTTTGTAAAAAAATTTCTTTTTATTTTTTACAACCAAAGAGAAACAAACAGTCATATAAACGCGTACTTTTTCGGAAATATATTATTTTCTATGAAAGAACGAATAGAGATGATTTAAAAAAAAAATAAAAAAGAAAAAAAAAGAAAGAACTGCAGCAACACGTTTCCTAATCCTTTTTGTAAAAAAAAAGAAAAAGCTTTATCCGTTTGTCGTGTTTTCGCGGCTAGAAAGAAAACTTTCCCTTTTTCCATATGCATAAATTTAATACTTAAACTACGTCAAATACTTGACATAATGATCAATCTTTAGGATATATAAATATATCTTTATATATATATGTATATCTATGTGTATTTATATGTATAACAAATGTATACATGTATAATAAATATAAAAATTGGATATATATGTATGTATATATATATATGACAGATCGTACAACCTTTTTATATTTCCTTTTATTTATAACCTAAACTAACGTTCACGGTTTTACAGATACAAATGCGAGAAAAATGACGTACCAATCACCGTTACTAATGGGTCTACTTTACCTCTCGTGGAACGTCCCAATGACGAAGAGGCAGCCCTTTATGATCCATTCGAACATCGAAAGTTAGCCCATCCAACCTCGGATCTTGACACTCTGATACATTTACTAAAAGGAAGTCTTGGTACTGGCATACTGGCTATGCCATTGGCCTTTAGAAATGCTGGACTCATTTTTGGCCTATTCGCGACTTTCTTCATCGGTGCGGTTTGCACTTATTGTGTACATATATTGGTCAAATGTGCACACGCTCTTTGTAGAAGGACACAAACACCAAGTTTGGGATTTGCTGATGTTGCCGAAGCAGCTTTTCTCGTTGGACCCGAAGGCGTACAAAAATATGCTCGTCTTGCCAAGTAAGTTTAATACCTTTTTTTTTTTCTTATTTGTTCATTAATTTTGAATTTAAGTGCTAAAGATCCCACGTGGGGTAGCAATTCGACCTATCTATTCTAATTTTGAATGTAGCTACCAGATAGCGTATTGAAGTGCTACAGATGCCAATATCATACCCTGAATTGAATTTTGTATTCAGGTTCAATGTCAATTGCTTTTTTTCTAATGATAGATCTGACCATGAATTGTTTTGTCTTATTCTTTTTTCTTTCTTTTTTTTCAGGGCTACCATCAATCTCTTTCTCGTAATTGATCTGATCGGATGCTGTTGCGTATATATCGTTTTTATCGCTACGAATCTCGAAGAGGTTGTAACTTATTACACACATATTGGCCAAGAATGGGAAACAGTTAATCGATTAAGATTATACATGGCAGCACTTTTACCATTTCTCATAATATTTTCTCTCGTGAGAAATCTCAAATATTTGGCACCATTTTCTATGTTTGCCAATATATTGATAGCCACAGGAATGGGAATAACATTCTATTACATATTTACGGATTTACCAACGATCAGCGATGTACCTAACTTTTCTACCTGGGCACAACTTCCACTCTTCTTTGGTACTGCAATATTTGCTCTTGAAGGCATTGGTGTTGTAAGTATTATCATTTTAATCTTATCTTATCATATTGAAATTGTCAATGTTGTCACTTAATTCTGAACCTTTTCGTTTTTCCTAGACTAAAAGTATTCATAACCATTTTTTATTTCTTTCTTACTATTCGTCTATTTCTTATAACAAATTGACATCAGTTAAAATATTAGGATTAATCAAAAGTTCGTGCTTTTGTTGTATTATAAATTGCATAATAAATTGTTTGTGTTTAATTTACTTTGGAAATATTCATTTAAAAACAAAAAGTACAGTTTCTTTTTGGTTTCAAATCTACCAAATTATAAGAGAACAGCGATTAACTTCATTTGTAAGATTTAATAAGATTCTATAGCACTCATCAGTCGGTAACAAATAAAATTGATTGTGTGAATGAATATTATTGACGTTATTGAATAATTAAATGGCCATTAGGAATATAATATTGATGATACGATATTCAATTCACAGTTTCAAATGTACAATTTAAGCCAACCTTATCCCTATATGTTCTTAAATAAAAAACAAGAACAAAAAAAAATCAAATGATGTATCGAGTTTAAATAGACTCGCGTCGTCTTTAAAGTATTATGACGAGTTAACTCATCATCTCCAGTTAAAAGGTTAAGAACTGTTATTAAACTTTCCAATTATGTCGCCCCTAGGTTTCTGCGATCCTAACGCAATTCCTAAGTGCCGAGTTAAAACATTTCGTTTAATTCTTTGAGATACGATGGTATTAAAAATGTTTTACCATTTTGATTCGTAAATGTGTACGGTGGGAGTTTCACCAATTTGAGTTTCACCTTTTATACCCAAAAAAAACCTTAATTCAATTATTATTATTATTATTTTTGTATGTATTTATATTATGTCATTCCTTTGTTAACAAAAATAAACTGACTCTATTTTATTTTTTAAAATTCACAGGGCTAATTGACGTCAATTTGTTTAGAATAAAAATGATAAAGAAAGAAAAGAAAATATAAATATTGCATACAGTTTAAGGATGATTTAACCAAAATTATCAATATGATTAATAAAAAAAAAAACAGATTACGTTTAGGTTGTAGAGTATAAAAAATAAATGAAATAATTTGTGACGTTGAATCTTTTATAAATAAGTAATTGTAATTATTGTTTACAGGTAATGCCTTTGGAAAACAACATGAAAACCCCAACCCATTTCATTGGTTGTCCAGGAGTATTAAATACTGGAATGTTCTTCGTCGTATTGTTGTACAGTACTGTTGGTTTCTTCGGTTATTGGAAATACGGTGAAAAAACTGCAGCATCAATCACATTAAATCCACCCCAAGACGAAATACTCGCTCAATCAGCTAAAATCATGATAGCCGTTGCTATATTCTTCACTTATGGATTACAATTCTACGTACCAATGGAAATCATATGGAAAAACATTCGACATTATTTTGGTTCTAGAAAAGTATTAGCCGAATATTCGTTAAGAATATTTTTGGTAATTTTCACGGTATCCGTAGCAATTGCTATGCCATCGTTAGGTCCATTCATTTCGTTGGTTGGTGCTGTTTGTTTGTCAACACTTGGTATGATGTTTCCATCGGTCATCGAATTGGTCACAGTTTGGGAACAAGAAAATGGCCTTGGAAGGTATAAATGGAGACTTTGGAAGAATCTTGCTATAATATGTTTCGGTGTTCTCGGCTTTTTAACTGGCTCATATGTCAGCATCAAAGAAATCATTGAACAAAAGTGAACATTTTATTGGGGCAAGATGAGGAGCGGCGCCGAACACGAATAACAAATCATTTTTCTTGCGTATTACAAACGCCCGATTGTGTTTAAGTTCGCACGCTCGCTCGCATTCCTATTTTCCGGAAGGATAATTGCCTGGAAGAAGCAGAAGAAGCAGAAATAGATGATGCAAACGACGATGAAGTGAAGATGAAGATGAAGCTGAAGATGTATGATGAAAATGACAATGAAGATGAAGAGATGAGTATGAGGATGAAGATGAAAAGATCGGCTACGGCCTAGAATGACGTTCGAAAGGACACACACAGACACACACGCATACATCATTATGTACGAATAATGAAAAACGATTAAACTAGGAAAGTAATCGCGAGAATATGAGTACGAGCTGCTTAGAATATTTTATTACACTAATAATCGCGATCGCGAATGATATCGATGATCGTATATTGACGATGAAGACGCCGCAATCAAATTTTCCTTCCGCTTTCAATTTTATTTGTTTCTTTTTTTTTTTAGTTTCTATTAGATATCAATATTTGATATATATATATATACCACTATAGTAAAATAATACGTGTCGTACGTTATTCATTTTTTGCATGTTTTTTTAGTGAATTTTTTCAGTGAACGATATATTATTAAATCTAATATTTAAATCATCATCAATTGTAACGATCGTATAATTTTGTATTAACAATTTTTGGATAACAAATATTTCCTTCGATTCTTATTAAGTAGTACATCGTTAATTTGTACGTTCTTTTTTTTCTCGTTTTTTTTTTTTTTTTTTTTAATCCTTACGTCAATCATTGACGTAAAAACATTGACAAAGTTTTGTTTTTTGGTATTATTTGACCAAGATTGTTCTCATATCTGAAAACAGTTTTTGTTTTTAAAAGTAAATACAAAATTTCTTGTTTTTTTTTTTTTGTTCAACGATTTATGTTAATGTTTTTTTTTGCTCTCTTTCGTTTTTCTTGTATATTTGGAAATGTAAAAAAAAAGACAAATAATACAAAGAAAGAGAAATAAAAGAGACGTTGGAGAAAAACAAAAAAGAAATACAAACGAATATATAATTTATCGTCGCATCGTCATAGACGGAAGCTACTGATCTGTTCCTAGTGCATGATGCACGAAATCGTACAAAAGATTATCGATTTTAATTGTAAGATGCTAAGCCGTTGTTTACGCGCGTTTGCTAGTCTGTAAAACTGGAAGTAACAATTTAACAAGTTTAAGACAAGTGATAAAATAAAATAAAATAAAATAAAATAAAATAGAATGAAATATAAAATAGAAAAAAAAAAAGATTAAAAATAAAGAGAAATAAAAAATAAAAAGGAAAAAAACGTGCGTACTTCTACTTTCGATGCAGTATTAATTAAATAATTAAAAAAAAGAAAAAAAAAAGAAAAGTGTTCCCGTAGATTTTTCGAACTTCGTTTCTCTCACAATAATCCACCATCCATATACATATGTAAATTTATGTATCGAAATAGTAATTCATTCGAAATTGTCATGTGTTAAAATTTTGATATAAAGAAAAATTCAACGAACAATATTCTTTTAGAAAAATGAAAAATGACAACAACAATAACAACAAATAAAGAGAATGTAAAGAGAAAGAAAATGAAAAATTAATAATAATAATATTAATATTAATAATGATAAAAATAATAATAATAATAATAAAGTAAAGAAAATAATCGTAGATGTTCCTTAGTTCTTTTTTTTTTTTTTTTTGTAAATGATTTATTAAATAACAGTCTGTAATTTTGCAAGAACGGTGCCATTAAAACAAAGTCGGTCGTTCGATGAGTCCTACGTACGTATATTTGTATGTAAATTTTTTACATACATATACTTATTTGTTTATTGTGTATATGTGTACATCCGACGAACAAAAAACAAATAAAACACACGAAAGGATGAGAAGTTATTTAGTTGTGTGAGCAAACTTTTTACTTTTTTTTGTTCTCCCCTTTCAGGTGTCTTACATATGTATGTATTTGTTAATAATACAAACTGAGTGTTCGACAATAATAATTATTCATTATAATAATATTAATGTTAATAATAATAAAAATATATACGAGGACACAACAATAACGTAGAGAATGACCATTGTAATCATTAGAAAACGTAAATAACGCGTAAGATAAGAAATAATTAGTCGATGCTATGATGTTGATAATAATGTTGATAATAATAATAATTATTATTATTATTTATTATTATTATTATTATTATTATTATTATTATTATAAATGTATCATTGTGAATAAATTAATCGCTGTGATTCTTTATACGACTTTAGTATTTTAAACGCTATTTTTATATTCAATTCGATTATACGTTTTTAGCAAAAGAAAAAAACAATTAATAAAAATAAAAATTATTAGGAATTAACTAGTTGGTATTTAAAAAAAAAAACAAAAAAAAAAAATTCTAGAGTAAAAAGGGAAATAAATCAAATGAAATTTTGATCAATGTTTTGTTTTTTTTTTTGTTAAAATTTGATTGTGGAAAATATATTTCTTATTGACAAATATAACGGAACTTTTATTAGATTATTGATTTATATGTATGTATAAGATATCAAGCATCGACTTTTAATTTAAAAAATTATGTTTCTATACGATCACGCTTATATTCGCACATTTTATTTATTATAATATTATGATATGCATAGTTTTGAAAAAGGTACGACGCCAAAAAAAATAATTTACTTGTATAATTTTGGAAATTAATGAAAAAAAAAGAAATAAAAAACTTTAAATAAAATATGAAGTCTATAAGAATATTTTGTAAATCTCGTAATTTTTTTCAAAACACACCAAAATAGTCATTTACGGTATTATAGTTAAAAATGTACAGTTTCATGCCAAAAAATTCAAACAAATATTTAGATAACCCTTTGAGCGCTGAGTATTTTTATTGTGCTGAAATGTTTCTTCACAATTTTTTAAATTTACAATTTTGTGTATGTTAAATTATAAAATTCTTTTTCTTAAATATATATTTACAAATGTCATTCTGTTTAAATTGCTTTGCTGCTTGAGTAGTAAAATTCAAATTGCTATTAAAATATTCGTAGCAAGAACTGTGATAGAAGATATACAAACAAATACGTCGGATTAGTTTGTTGCATGTAAACAATTTATGATATCGTTAGGAGGATCGTGTATGTTTTGATCTTTTACAAACGTTTAAATTTAAAATAAATAATTAACAGTTTATATATTAAACTTATAGTAAAATACACCATTGTTCTTATTAAGGACAAATGTAGGGCGCTGTAAACCATCCTCTCTCTCCTCTCTTATCGCAGAGCAATAAAGTTTACAATGTGAGTTGTTAGTATACATAGAACCTTTAAGATATTATAATAATTTTGGAATGTTGAATAGTTATATTTAAAATTTTTTAAATAAGTTTTTAAAATTCTTTGCGACACAAAGAAAAGTTACTTCTATATGAACATCAAAGATATCATACTAAATATAAAACGTTTACGTTGTATCGAAGAAAATAATTTTAAATTACATTACAGAAAGTGTATTGCTGTTATTAGCAAAAAGAGAACAAAAATTCGAACAAAGTAGTTTCCAAAAATTATCTGTTTACGTAGAAAAAATATTAGACAGGAATTTCTATTTCGAAATAATGAACAGTGGGGATTTATTACACGAAGATAATCTAATATGTAGTTATCAAAATCAAGCTCTTACATTGATGCAAGTATATAAATTAGAAGAAAAGGAAGAATTTTTTGAATGGTTGAGAAGATTTCAATATGTAGCAAATACTATCAGTATACCACCAGATAAAATAATTGAATTTTTTAACTGCATGGTGGATACTGATGTCCACACATACGTCAATAAGACTTATCCTATCTATGACTTCTGTATATTTTCGTACGAAGATACAGTAAAACATTACTCTATTGTATTATATAGAAGACGTTTTATTTCTCGGGAACAATATGAAAATGAGTCAATACTAGAATATTCTTATAATCTAATAAAAATATTTAATGAATGCCACTATCGAATAAATCCTGAAGAAAAATTATGCGAACAATTTATTAATGGACTCCAGGACGATAATATAAGAAATCATTTAAAACAAAAACCTTGTTTATCATTCTATGGAACGGTAGCACAGGCAATGGAATTTTTAAAAAATATTTTTCTATCCTATTATAAAGACCAAGCTCTTATAAGGATTCATTGTTACAATCTAGGAATGAAATGTGATTTTTGTGACTGGATAAATAAATTTGAATATGTAGCGGATTCTATTGGGGTACCAGATAAAATGATGGTTGAATTATTCAAGAATATGGTAGATGATGATGTCCATATTGGAATGTGTGCCGAGGAGATTACCCCTGATATAAAACTCACCGATATACC